GATAGATAGATAGATAGATAGATAGATAGATAGATAGATAGATGCCAAGGTATATATGCCATCCCTTCCAGCCCCTTTGAGACCTACGGAAATCAGGGGAGGAGTGGGCACCGCACAATGGAGGACAGGCAAGGAAAATGGAGGACACAACCAAAGTAAAGCAAGAAACACTCCTGGAAATCTAAACCCTCGTCCTGCTCAAAATGGAGGACGTTTGGGGGATTCCTCCTGGACAGAAAGTGGAAGTGGAGGACAGGTCCTGGAAGGGGAGGGGGGAAGGAGGACCTCTGATCACCCTGACTGAAAGAAAGAAAGAAGTTGGGAGCAGGAGCTTTCCTAGACTGGCATGCTGACTTTCCTAGACTTCAGTAGGCTGAAGTCTAGGAAAGCTCTGCTCCCAACTTCTTTCTTTCAGTCTCAAAGGTGCTACAAGAGCCCTTTACCTACTGATGTGTTGTTGTTGTTGTGTGCCTTCAAGTCGTTTCAGACATAGGGAAACCTATCCTTGGCAGGCTGATTCAGAGGGGGATTGCCATTGCCCTCCCCTGAGGCTGAGAGAGTGTGACTCGCCCAAGGTCACCCAGTTCATCTCCATGGCCAAGCTGGGAATCGAACCCTGGTCTCTGGAGTCATGGTGCAATGCTGAAAGTACTATGCCGTGCTTTAGCAACTTTGAAAACAACTCTAATTCTATCTCCATGGTAAAGGCATGTAAGAGAGTAGCCCAGTCCTTGGTCCCATTGTGCTTGTTGAGTCCCCAATTTGGGGGAAAGTCAGGATATAAGTAATGCTAGTAAACAAATAAAATATGTGTATCCACACTTGGAAGTAGCTTCCATTGGCTTCAGTAGGGTATTCCCACTGTTGTGTGCCTTCAAGTCATTTCAGACTTAAGACAACCCTAAGGTGAACCTACCATGCGGGCTTCTTGGCAAGTTTCTTCAGAAGTGGTTTGCCAGTGCCATCTCCTGAGGTGGAGAGAGTGTGACTTGCCCAAAGTTAAGTGGATTTCCATGACCGAACTGGGATTTGAACCCTAGTCTCCAGTCATAGTCGAGTGCTCAAACCACAAGGCCATGCTGGCTCTACTTCCAGAAAAATATTTGTAGGATTTCAGACTAAACTGGGTGTATCATACTTAATTACCTAGATCAGGGGTAGGCAACCTTTCCCCTTTAAGGGCCGAGGGACTTCAGCTCTCAGAATCCTATTGACTATTGGCCAACATGGCTGAGGCTTCTGGGAGCTGAAGTCCCTCGGCATTTAAAGGGGACAGGTTGCCTACCCCTGACCTAGATCCACAGATATGGTTGTCACGCAGTTCGTCTGATTCTTTGGGTTGTGATGTATGCCCCACATAATATAGAATAGGGTCAATTCTAGTAATAACACCAGTATATGCCACAGAGAACAGCTCTGCTTGATAGCAGTTGTAGGTATGTTCTCATAAATGTCCCCTTCAGATATGCACCTGTTATGCCCAGTGGAGAGTTCCATTGTGGGTTTCCCAGGGCTCAAGGCCCATGCAGACAGAGCTTGAAAAAGTTCCTTTTTTTTGGACTGCAACTCCCAGAATTCTCCTGAGAGAATTTCAGATCAAAAAAGTAACACTCCTAAGCTCTGGATCTGCTTGATGACTTGTGCCTTAACTTCTTTGTGTGTGTTCCATTCATTCATAATGTGTTTAGAAAAGCAAGGCATTGTGTGCTGAGAACTTTTTATGCTGGCTAGAGTACCAGAGCCCATAAATTGTTGTTCATAAGAGAGTACTTTAAAACAACCATCTGTCAGCACCCATTGATTCATTGTTCAGAGCTAGGGCCTAACTATATGCAGCACACAAGCAAGTGTAGCAAACACTGGAGTGCTGTTTTGTTCTAGGAAGCAAACAGATTTCAGGAGCGGGATTCATAAAGGGAAAGTGACAAAGAGAATAAAACCCTACTTCCACCACTCTTCTGTCCCTATTCATTTTGTACTCCATTTCGTGCATTTGGAGATGCAAAATGTGTCGGAGATACTGCTGAGTAGGAGAGGACTTGGGAGTGGAAAAATGGATACTTGGTACGGTACTTTTCTCACTCACCACTTCTTAATTCTAAAGATCCCATCCTGCAAGTTTCCAAACATGTGTTTGCCTTTCATCATGTACATGTACATAGGGAGGGAAGGGATGATGTGCAGTCTGGAGCAACAAAGTGGCCACGGAGAACCACTAAGCATTTGTCAGCTTGTGTTTGCATGCACTTGAAAGCTAGGCCCCTAGCTCTGAATAGTGAATCAACAGGTGCTAACAGATCAATGTTCTTGAAAGAGTACCTTAAACCCTTCTTCCCCTATGCACTAATGTTTTATGTAATCATATGGACTAGCACCTTGCTCTTTTGATAGCAGTTCATTTAAGGTAAGTCAGTAGAAGACAAAAGGCTTTGATAATCAATCAGCCTAAGAACACATTTTATTTTTATGGTAGCACAAGATCACAGGCCTTAACACCATAGTGACCATAGTGGTTTGAGTATGGGTCTATGACTCTGGAGACCAGGCTTTCAATTCCCAACTTGGCCATGAAACCCACTGGGTGACCTTGGGCAAGTCACATGCTCTCAGCCTCAGGGGAAGGCAATGGTAAGCTTCCTCTGAAAAAATCTTGTCAAGAAAACCTCATAATAGTTTTCCTTAAGGTCGGCATAAGGTGGAAACAACTTGAAGACACACAACACATGCACACAAATTCCACTTAAACTGATGAGAGATTAACTTCTGTGGAGCGTGTTTAAGACTATGGGGTAAGACTGTCATTCAGAAGCAGCATTAATTGCAAGTAATTTCTAGTGATACTGACAACGCATCTAAGTACACAATTCGTTCCCATCATAATGACTGAGAACAGCTGATCTGATGCTAAACCAGCTGAAGCTGCGTTAAATGCACATCCATTTCAGTCTAGGAATGTTCAAAATTACTATTCTGGTCCTGGCCTAACTTTATAATAGAATAATGGTTTTGTCCCTGGATGCAAGAGGTCTGGATTTGACATAAAGTGCCAGTTCCTTGCTCTGCCTGCCCTCATTTTGGTTGTTTTGCTGGATGATCTCAGTTGGCAAAGTAGTTGTGCCAACAGATCTGATCTAGCTGTGCTAGCTGGTCTCTGAAGAAAGGGGCTATGTTGGCATAAAGGCAGTTGAAACAGAAGATAGAAGGCCAGTTCAAGTGGCATACGAGGCTTTTGCCTCTTCCTAACCCCTTACAGCTGGAAGATCTTTGAGTTAGAACTGCACTACCCATGAGTATATTGTTGCTAGTTTTTTAAAAAAATAGTAGAACTATAATTGATCATAATCTAGTCTAGTGCATGGAGATCCCCCCCCCTAAAATAATTCAGCAAAACAAATGGACATATATATATAGATATCACCCTGTTCACCACTAATTAATTATTTTCAGACTCTTGTCTTACGGTTTCTTTGGTAGGATTACAAGTGTTGAGCACACATAGTCTAGTAGACATTACTGAAAAGACTTTATTAATACACAGATTATACATGAGCCAAGAACATGTAAGTATATACTGGAACACATCATAGCATTAACAGCTTTTATCATTCTTCTTGGAATTAGCACAAATGAGTTATTTCCTTATGCTGGCATGTTTAATGTAGCATAACACTGGTTTCAAATCCAGCAAAGTTTTTCTGAGCTGTGTTTTTAAAGTAATCAATGATAGCTGCAAACTAAACAAAATGAATAACTTGGGCGTATTTTTTTTTTGTATTTTGTCTTGTCTGAACTACTTTGCAAGGTGGAGTCTTGCATATCACACAAAAACAGTTTGTCTTTTACAAAGTAGTTTTTAAGCTGTGATTTTATGAGCAATATTCTTACCCTATGGTATGATACATAATTTTTACTGCTGGAGTCTTCTTTCTGGCTGGCACTTAAAGTTTGCTTTAGATTGTTCTACTCCACTCAGTGGCTCACTATAGTGGGACTGGTGTTTTTCTCTGCAGCATAGCAAATGGCTGGAAGAAATATAGGTTTATAGTATTACAGTAAAATAATGCCTGAGCTGTGGGGGGAAAACTTAAAAGTTGTTTACACATGGTGTCTGTAACGTGTAACTAGTCTTTATTCAGAAGTTGTATGTTAAAATGTGTGCAAGTCTTTATTTTAGAACAGTGTTCAAAGAAGCAACTGGGCCTAAATACCTTGAAGCTAAGGAGGGTCAGTCCTGGATAGTACTTGGAAGGGAGACCTCTAGGGAATGCCAGATGCTGTAAGCACTATTTCAGAGGAAGGCAAAGGCAAACTATTATCTCTGCATATTCTTTGCCTAAAAACACCCCTAAGAAATTCATGGTGTCACCATAAGTCTACAAACTGAAAGTACACATACACACAAACAACATCAAATATAAAACAAAATGAAAAAATCCAAAAGGCAGTGGGAACAAACAATATAATTAAGTAGGTAGATCCTATAATGATAAAGTCCGCTGCCCTATTTTGGCCTTAAAATGACTTGCACCATGATCCTAACCACCATTATTTGTTACCCACAAACAATCCTCTAAGGTAGGGTATTAATATTCCACTTACACATATGAGGAAACAGAGCCCAGAAGACTGCCCCTTAAACACCTGCCTTTTGGCAGAAATGGGCTGTAGGATTTTCCTGTGTCCCTTTAAAATGCTGGAGCTCAGTGGAAGTGATGGGGTGAGGCTCAGTGGGAGGAGGAAGGAGAGGACCCATATTTAAATATAATTTAATTTTTTTAAAAAATTACTTTTTTTACATTTTTAACAAACTTAAAAAAAATTAAATTTTCTTAAAAACATCACATCTTATCAAATTTACACTTTAACCACATGCAACTATGTACATTCAAATACATTTAGGCTGTGTGTATGATATTGTAATTTAAAGATATAATTTTAATTTTGCTAGTTGTTTATTATCATTACACTCAGTGATATATGGGGATTACATTTGATGAGTAACATTAGTTCAAAAAGCATTACTAAGGATTCTGTATGGTGTAGTATGGGAGGAGGTCAGTGGACATCATGAATTGCTGCACTGGGTGACACCAACCCTAGCATTGCAGTGTGCAACTCTACACTGCAATATTTGCATATTTACTTGGCAGTAACTTGCAAAGGTACATCCATATTGCAGTTTCTTGCACTCTAGATCCATTGTAGTTGGATATGCAGGAAGCAGAACCAGAAAAAACAAAGATATGAAGTTGCATCAGTTTTTCCATACCTTTTATATGGATTACATCACTTGCATAGGAAACCACCTTTCACCAGGTCAGATAATTTAATTGGCAGTGACTGCCTAGGGATCCAGGCTAATGCTTTTAATTGGAGATGCCAGGGATTGAATCTGAAGGTGTGCTTTACTCCTGAGTTATGGTCTCCCATTTCCTCTTAGCTGAGGCTGCGGCCACATTGCACAATTAATGCAGTTTGACACTGCTTGAACTGTCATGGCTCCATCCTATGTTTGTAAATAACCAAACTCAATATGAGTGGCTTTCCTTTGCAAAATGATAATTTTCCAGTTTTTAAAATAACCTAATTAAATACTTACTAGTAGAAACCTCAAATTATAAAGAAAGGCTATACGGGGGTTGTATATTTGTATCCTTCCTTCCTTTCTATAACAAACATGGCTTTTGTTTCTCCACCATGGCACAATCTGGCAGGTCAGCAGGACATAAGAAATGCTGTATTAGAAAAGCACTATTTGAGGTAATGGTTGTGTGAATGACCAGCTGAAGCACACTTTAAACCAGTAATAGGCTAAGCTACTGTTTTTCTTAAATGTCATAACCCTAAGCACTGTTACACAGTTACATCATATGTTAATAAACATATGGGACCTGTGTCATATTGTTGAAGTGTGGAGTTAATTTCAGCTGGTCCATTCAATTTTTAGTCTCTGCTCCCCAATCTGGTTTTCCATCCTGTGCTTCAGCTAGCATTTTGTAGGCTGTTGGGGAGGGTTGCGTCTCCCCACATTTCTGCACACCTTGGGATTATCCTTAGCCTGATGATAAATTCATTCTTGTACAT